TTGTGGGAAAGAGGACAATTGTGGTGGGGACAGCGGCCGAGGCCCACAGAGTGAGAGAGTTTGAGAAATGAGAGAAATTTAAATCTACTTTAAACCAATCAGCAAGTCACAAAAAAAGCAAAACAAGACGATTTTTAGGTAAATGTGAAACTTTTTCGCTTCTTGTTTTTTATTCTGATACAAACCATATAATCTACTACTGTGTAATTGCATTAATTAATTATCTGAGTCCCTGATTCCCAATGGAGAAATTTAGAGGGTGAGCTTTTGCAACTGACACAGGATACCACAAGAGGGCGCCATTAGGGATATGTGGTTCCTCTGGGAATACAGTATTAAAAATACGTTGTCATTAAAATGGCTGAAATGTGTTTCCTGCTCTTTGTGAATTTTATTTGGTGATAAAATTATAAAAATGACTCTTCAGCTGCCAGAACCCTGGACCTTGGGTTGTCTTATGTCTTCTCCAGGTGCTAATAAAACACACTAAACCAGCGCGTGTGTGTGTGTGTTCAGTTTTCAGGTTGTTAAGCTGCAGAACCAAGTTTGAAAACCTCATTTGACACAAAAAGAGTCTTCGATCAACCACTCAGCCCTGGCCTTGAATTGAAGAGGTTTAATTTGCTTCATAATTGTATTTTTGACTTTATTTGTGTATGTGTGTGTGTGTGTGTGTGTGACTAGGATCAATAAGCCCTTATGAGGCAGCGCGCTATAGGATTTCTTGGATCGATCCACAGCTGTAATCACATTTCAGGGCCTGGGCTCGGCTTTTGGAAAGAAAAGTACAGGTATTTCTTCCTGGAAGATTTTTTTTTTTTTTAACGTGCCGATGTGGGTCAGAGTTCATCTAATTGAAAGCAGTTGCTGATTGGTTTAATTGTTATCGACTGCTGGCCAGTCTATTTGGTAAATGCTGATGTTGGGTAAATATAATGGACATCTGATGAAGGATCAGTGAAGACAGGCCGCGTGTTTACGGGTCAATACTGTCTGTGTTTCACAATCACATGATCAACTGTCGTGTGTCAGGTGACCAGACACTGTCAGCAGAGACGGAGCAGAAACCTGTGTTTTTAAAACATAATTATCGTTTAAAGAAACCATCGTCACAGCCAGATGACCTCACTGACCTCCACTGTCTCCAACAATATTCTTATTAAGACAACGTTAATGGGAGAGATCGCAGCCAATCCCAGCAGTCCTCACATGGAGGCGGGGCTACACCCAGACTGCTTCAGTCAACCACAGGGACGAATAAACAAAACCAGAGACCAGTCACACCTACAGTATCTGTCTACAGGAAAAGATGGACTTAAATCAATGACAACATTTCAAAGATTGCAAAACAAATATCTTAAGATGAGCACAAGGGTGTCAACATTTTTAAGATTTTGCAAAACAAGTATCTTAAGATTAGCACAAGGATGATTTAAAGCAATTCTGACTTAGCCAATGTTAGCCGTGCTGCAATACCTTTTCACCCTCTAGGAGGCGACCCCCACTTTGGGAGCAGAAACCGTTGTGAAACTAAATCAACAGATTCTTGGTCGGCAGCTTTTTCCAACTCTTCACATCATCATATTTAACCACAGTCACATCTACCCTCCTGTCCTTTCAGTTGCCCTCTTTGCCCCCCCTCCCTTCCCTAAATACCTCACTGAGGGTCTTTATCTTTCCTTCCTCCATCTCTCCTCCAAACTCATCCACCCAGCAGTTAATGGAGTGTGTCAGTGAGCTGGGAGCTGCTCGAGCGTGCAATCTGGATGAAGAATTAATGCCACCGCGGCTACTTAATGCCTCACAAAATCAGTGTCTCACACACAGACAAACACACACATACACACAGAGTGTGTGTGTATGTGTAACAGCATGGATTCCATCCCATGAAATAAGAAAGACAAAGCATCTGTGGATGCATATTTAACACACACACACAGAGGTAGTGATGTCATGGCGGTCACTTACACTGGAAGTAGAGTTCCTCGTCTCCCTCCTGAGAAGCTTTGCTGTAGCCGCATTGTCTGCAGAGAGAAGAAGAAAACAGAGAATGAAGACCAGCGGCTTCAGACGGTGTTTCTTATTCCAACTGGAGGAGAAAAATAAATATAGGACTGTGTTTATCTGCCACTGTAACAGGTCGTAGAGGGGGGAGGACACGGGGTGGGAGGTGAGACATGGGGTCTGTGAAGTGGAGATGGAGAAAGGACAGAGAGACGGGAGGTTCTCAGAAGAGTTGACAGAGCCTCAGATGAGCAGCAGAAAGATCTAGAACTTTGACGGAAAAAGTCTCAGACACATACAGTGGGTATAATTGTCAAAGTGTGGGGCGGGGCCCACTGGTGGGGTACTGAAACATCACAGGTGGGGCGTGACTAACGGGAAGGTTCATGTGACAATGGCACAACTGCAAAATATCAAAACTCCGGCCCTAGGACCAGCAGTGGCCCCTGGACAGATTATTGTGGTCCCTGATTTCCTTCATTAAATCGTAAAAGTTGAAAGAAATTTGTATCATAAAACCATGACTATGTTTTAAATGAACCTGTAGCATGAAGGAGAGAAAACCAGTCTGTTTTAATCAAGTCAACCTTCAGATCAGCAAAACTGAACCTGATCTAACAACGTGAGCAGCAGCGAGTCGCTGAACGTCGAAGCTCAAACGCTACAGTGTCTGCAACCGTCAGCTCGTGTGTGTTTCTGTAAGAGTTGAATAACGTCACAACAAATCATCTGTCCATGCAGGAACTGAGAGTCTGTCTGCTGCGAGGCCTTCACTCTCAGTGTCCAAGGTCAACTCCTTACATGCACACACACAGGATCAACTGCGTGTTATTTTCTTTTACGCATCAACCCGTCGGCATCCCATCTACGAGAAGAACTTGACGGAGCCGTGAGAGCTGACACGTCGCCTCAGCCTCGGCTGCAACTGTAGGATCTGAGACGGGGTCAATGACCTGTCTGTCAAAACACGGCAGCAGTAACACGCAGGAGATGTCCTGAGGGCAGGAGACAGTGGACGGGACAGAAGTGGAGGCAGGCGGGGGAGGGAGGGGAGTCCTGGTACCAGGAGGCAACAGATGTCAGGGGAAGAGTTACAGTAAGGTGAGGGAGGAGGAGGAGGTGTCGAAGATAGAACCCAAAGTTCTCCTCAGTTTTTAACTTCCATTTCTGACTCTGAATCTTCTGCGTTCTTAGAACATGTGAAGTGAACGTTTTGAATGAAGCTACTGTGTAGAAATAACATGTTTATCTTTTTAAAGGTAAGAACAGACAAAACGGACAAAGCACAGCCCATAATACAGTCACACAGTTGAGGGTGGATGAAGGATCTGGGTGGATGAGGTGATAAAGGAAGCATGGAGAAGGTTGGAGAAAAGAGAAGCTCAGGTTCTAGCGTGTCAGTGAAGCTGGAACGTTGAGATGAAGTTTACAGATGAAAACAACAGCAAGAGACTTGGACAAAACTTTATCCAACATTTATCCCATAATTCTGATATTAAGTAATACTTCAGTAACAAATTAATTAATTTAAGAATTATAATTTATTATAATTTAGAATTCTGATTTTTTTTTTCCTGATGTGATGTTTTCACATTTTTCAATCTCTTAGGGCTGCAAAAACAAATTCAGAATTCTGGGAAGTCAGAGCTCTGAAAAACCAACGATGGGGAAAAAAAAAAAAAAAAACTTGCTTGGAGCAAAAGTAAAAAGCAGGGGTGTTTGGTGCAGAGGAGGGGGAAGCAGACATGCCAGTTGTACCTGGGCATCAGCTGTGTGAAGGGAGGAAGAGGAGAGAGGAGAGGAGGAGGAGGAGGAAGGGTGGAGAAGGAGGTCGAGAGCAGCATCACGCTAGCAGGAGTGACATTGGAGGAGCTGGAGCAGACACTGCTGGGAAAAAAAACAAAACAAAGGGAGGTAGGGAGGAAGGGGAGAAGGGAACGCCGATGAAAACGATGGTGGATGTGGCCAAATATACACAGAACTGTCACATTCAAACACACATTTTGCTAAAATTCCATTCGATTTGGTGTTGTTTTCCTCGGCCAAACTGGTTGTAATTTATCGTTTCCGACTAAAATTCTGCACCAAATGTTAAATTTCACACTTCAGAGGCAGCAGATGGCAGAAAAAGAGGGAAAGTCTGTGAAGCCAAAACCACTAGAGATTCAGAGCAGATTCTGTCTTCGTCAGATTTTCTCTCAGCCTCAGGGGCTTCATGGGTTTTTATTCATTTCATAAGAGAAGAGTGATTTTTATATTAAATTTCTTCACAGTCACTTCTTTTTAAAAAGGACAAAACTATTTACTGAGTTTTTAAGCCATAAGGCTGTTAGCACTTTCTTTAAGATTGTTCTGACCAACTTATTTTCTTTTTTCCCCTACCTTATTTATTTTTTATTTTATAATGTTTTTCTGAGTTTCTTTTTTTTTCAGGCTAACCTTTACTTTAATTAGTTGGTTTATATGTGTAAAGCACTTCTGCTTACACGTTATTTCTTCAGCAAATAGTCTTAACCTTTTTTGCAATTTCTGCCTATATTACCTTTAGCTATTGTGCTATATTTAGCTAACTTTTAGATTTATACTTTTGCAAATATTTGCAGGTTTAATTGCAGTCATGAAGTCAGGAAAGTTAAACAAATAAATACAAAACAAATGTGCCTTACGAAACACTATAGCAACAATAGCAGCAAACCCATCTGATTGCTAGCCAAAGCTAACAAAGGCAACTAAAATTGGCCCTCCAAATAGCTACAATATCACAAAAATATTCTCTTAATACCCCCTCTACCAAAAAAGGTCTCCAGACCAGACCTGGACACTGATATGATCTTAAATTCCACCAAAATATTTACACAGTTAAAGCTCAACAACAATCAGGAGTGGGTTAGACACCAGGACACAACCACTGGACACACAGCCTGTGTGAATTCATGGAGCTCCACAGAAAGCTGCATGTGCATCTTTTACATTGTTACGTGACAGGAACGGAACTGAAGGTTAAATAAAAAAAACTGAGCTGTTTCTACTGTACGACTCACAACTGCTGACGCACACTGTACATTTACACTGACAAACGACGCCACATTTTCTGAGCAAGTGGGCTGTGCAAAAACATCCCAGAGTGTAACCATAAATGTAAATGCATAGGTGTGTGTGTGTGTGTGTGTGCAGTATAAGGACTCATTTGCATGCGTGGGTGTGTGCAGGCAGATCGATGTAGTAACTGAGATCCTGCAGCCGTGGCCGGCAGCTTGCTGTCTCTGCAAACACGAGAGCGTAGTAATTGGGGCGTCGAGCCTCTTCTCTACACTGGGTCTGTATGAGGGGCATGAAGAGGAAGTTAATGGTCCAGCAGGGATGAAGGATGGAGATCACTGGCAATGAATGCCCTGATGTGATGAGATAAAAGAGGGGGAGATGGGTGTAGTTACTGCCTGATAGACTGCACGGGGGGTGGGGGCATTTAAACATACTGAGTTTCTGCACTCATGCGCTCGACACCGTCAGGAGTTGGGCTAATGTAGAATCAGTTGGGTGGTCTCGCTCTCCCTCCATCACTACGAAGGTCAGCAGTAAGTGCTAGGATGTCAAAGACCTTTTCAGCCAATAAACAACTCTCCTTTTATACCTGATACTTGAATCTGTAGCTAGCTAACATGCTAATTACGGAATTGTTTCCCCTACACGTTTAGGAACAAACCTGTCGCTAGCTAACATGCTAATTGTGGAATTGTTTCCCCTACACGTTTAGGAAGGTCATCTGCATGCTGGGCTGAATGGTGGTAGAGTGGTGAATGCTCCTGCCTTACAACAAGATAGCCAGTTAACTTGCTGGTACAGTAGTAACCAATGGTCTTTCTTGCTGTTATTACACTGTTTACAGTGTAAGCAGTTTAACCTCTAGATCCAGAACTTTAAAATAGAGATCTATGAATAAATCTGACTAAAAAGTGCTACTTGTTTTGTGACTGTAACAATATTTACGCTACATTTAAACACATTTCCTGAAAGTGGTGTCCCACATGGTAAGGTAATGCCTTTTTAGTCTCAGAAATTTCTATTCATGGTTGCATCACCTTTGACCCTTTCAGACCTATGGGAAAACCTTTGGTTACTAAAGCCTGCTTAAGAAGGGCACTTTGTGTGTGTGTGTGTGTTGGGGGGATACAAGTGGGAATACACACCATCTATGCAAACAAATGTTTGTACAGTGAATCTGAAAAACTCCCTGGACAGAGAAAAACTGAACACAGCAGAACAAAATGAAAAACAAAACAAAACCAAAAGCTCTGGAAGTGTTGGTGCGTGGGAGTGTAATGTGAATGATGAATAATGTGCACTGTACACGCTCGTGCACTCATCTCAGAGTGTATGTATGTGTCTGTGTGTGTGTTAGTGTGTAGGCGTTTGTGAGGCCAGCCAACAGAATATAGATGTGGATGCGAGTCGAAGAGCAAAAAAAGTGTTTGGAAGAAGAGAAGAGAAAGTGGAGAGAGAAAAAAAAAAGCATCAGATAAAGCAGAGAAGTCTGCGTCACAGCACTGGAAGAAAGAAGAAAGAACCACAACTCAGGTGGAATCAAAAACTTCAACATCTCCTTGGAAACTGTGGGAAAAAGTTTAAATAAAAAAAGTTTGTTGCAGTCAGGAACACCACGATCATTTCTCCTGGGACCAAATCAGGTTGTTGTACTTCGAATACTGTGTACTACGATGTTAAAACAGACACTTAATGTGGAGCAGATGAGCAGAGTCAAAGTCACAGAAAGGAGCTCAAAGTAAAGGGATCGTTTTGCTGAATGTAAGAAAGGCTGCCCTCTCAAGGCTCTGTGTGTGTGTGTATATATATATATATATATAGCAGCATATAGTGTGCGTGTGTGTGTGATTCAGGATTTAATCTCTGCACCAGATGACCACTCCTCTGATCACCGTCAGTGAATGTGACATGAAGCCACTTTTCTATGATGTATTTTTGTTTTGATATAATACCATTGTTCTGCTAATTATGCTAAATATTTTCCAGAGATCCTCACTGATCCCCAGTCCCTGCTGTGGCCGTACATTTCTGCAGGTTTAACCCTGTTTCACCAAAGACAGGATTATGAAGGCCCAGAGAGGCACAGATGTCTGAGTGAGAGATTAAAAGCCTGGTGTTTGTCCACATTCACATGTCTGCGTGTGTTTGTTTGTCCTGACGTCGTCCTGGTATTAAATTCCCAGGAACCACAGAAGCAACTCGTGGACCAAACATTGGCTGACGTGTTTACATCTGTGTGTGTGTGTGTGTTTATATTCACCTCCTCCAGATGAGCAGCCCGACTCCCATGGAGAGCAGCATGATGAGGGCGGCCACGGATACCACCACGATGATCACCACCGGGTTCTGCTCGCTGGACGCCAACGCCACTGGAAGTGGACAAAAAACTGTGTTAAAACATGTTTGAAGTAATGATGAAAATGTCAGGAATGTAAATATCCAATTTAACACCTCCGATTTCTTAAAATCAAAAGTGGACAAGATGATTAGTTTATTATAACATAATGATAATCATTGGTCTGACTCTGAAACTTCTTTGAGGAAAACAGAAGAAAACTAAACAAGTATCTTCATCCTGGAAAGTTTCCCTGCAGCTCTAACCTTTCTTACTGAAACAACACAAAGAACCAAAAATAATTTTGGTGAAAATTGGCTCTAAACCAACTTTACAGAGTAAAAATCTGCGCCGGAAGTGCAGGGCAGCTCTCGGGGGGCTTCAACTCTCCACCCCCGGGCCAACCGTGGCACTTTCAGACGTTTTATTTGCCCCATGAACTTTCTTCTTCTGCAGATTAATTTTTTATAGCCTGCCAGTGGGATGAGAAACTGGCTTTTTCCCCGACCCTGTCAAATAGTTTTCTGTACTGTTTTTGGACCACTTCCAAGGAAATGTGATCAATGTTTGAACCACATTTTTGGTAACTTTTGATGCTAAGCTAACTCTTTTCATCCAAGAAAACTATTACACATTATTCATCTATAAGATAATTGTAGTCTACATTTTTGACTAACCTTTGGCTATTTCTGTTTTCTTATTTTTTACTTTTTTAGCTTTACTTTTTTAGCTAACTTTGATCAATATTTGAATTTGGCAAACTTCTTGATCAAACGTCAAATACCTTTGCAGTATATGTGCTGTGTTTAAATCATTAAGGCCTATTAATTAGACTAGATTTGACTAGGTTAGATTACTGCAGACCAGATTAGACAAGTGTAAATAACAGATATTATTAGATATAATATAAATAGTAATTTTTAAACATCAAATAAAAGTAGGAAAATACATTCTTTTTTAAACATATTTTGAAGCATTGTCTGGGGGTTTGCAAAAGGGGCTTTCATCCAGAAGCTGATACTGTTTGGGGGTCTTGTCTTATTTATAAGTCCTACTGAGCCCCCCCCCCCATTGCCCTGTTATGTGGTAAACCAGTACTCTCTGCTGACAGATATCAACATCACACATCAACATAACATCACACATCAACACTTTTCAAACCGGTGTACCAGACGGAGGGCTAAATATACAGCAGACAGTAAACTGTACATGAGGTTAAAGACTGAGATCTTCTGACAAGTACAGGATGTGAAACACTCAGACACTTGGAGACCCTCAGTCAGACTGTGGTCTGGCACCAGGGACGCTGTATGTGCTCGCACAAAGAAGCAACATTTCACAGCTTACTGCTAACGTTGTGAATCTTCGCACATAATCTCAGCCATCTCCTCCGTCTCGCAGCACACCTCATTGTGTGGGCTGCCCAGGTGTCTGCGCACCCAAAAAAAAAAACCAACCCAACAATCATTACCCACCACATGTGGCCTAGGAACGAGGGGCGAAAAGAAAGCGAGCTGGAGTGAGAGAGAAGGAGGTGTAAAACAACTACTTACACTCGCCAAGTGTCTGCAGCTCCAGGGGGGAGCTGTACGCTCCGTAGTCGATGGGCGGAGGAGAGGAGGTCGATAACAAAGACGAGGAGGAGGATGATGAAGACGAAGAAGAGGAGGAGGACGACGAGGAAGATGACGATGACAGTGGGGAGGAAGCCAGAGAGGAGGAAGAGGAAGTGAGGGCAGAGGCCGGCTTGGACAGAGGGCGGATGAGGAAGACATAGGTGGTGCCGGGTTTAAGGTTGTTGACACTGATGCGAGTGAAGATGACGATGACAGTGGGGAGGAAGCCAGAGAGGAGGAAGAGGAAGTGAGGGCAGAGGCCGGCTTGGACAGAGGGCGGATGAGGAAGACATAGGTGGTGCCGGGTTTAAGGTTGTTGACACTGATGCGAGTGGCGTTCGTCTTCACCGTGGAGTAACTCTGGTCTTTGTGTTCCTGTGCAGACAAGGGGGAGACACAAGAGACTTGAGAAAAAGGGGAGAAAAGTGTGACGGAATGAAACGAGTAGGAGGAATTAATTTGTGATTTTTCTGCCTTGCTCGATTCCAAGGCACAGTTTGTGATGTCGGAGGAGGCGAGAGACAATTCTGTTACCAAACCCAGGCCAGGCTTTTATTTCTAACCTGAGAGAATGTGGAGAAGAATCAGATCCATTTTTAAAAGGCTGAGTCAAGTTTAATAAAGTTCCCAGACATCATTGATTGAACTGAAGAAGAAACACCACAGAACAGAACAGAAGGTTCTGAGACAGAAAGTCTGGGTCTGAGGTATTTACTAAAACATGAAGACTCCTCTCACAGACGTAAACAATTTACCACAACCATATGAATAGGAGGACAAGGAGCAGGAGAAGCGGGAAAAAGATAACGAGTAGGAGATAGTGTAGAAGACGGACGAAACCGTTTGACAGCAAATTCTGATTTAAACTTAATATTTTCGTAAGTCAACCAAAACGCGCCTCTCTCAGCACAGATACAAACCAATATATTAAAGAAAAATAAAAACTCATCTCATATACGTAACAGAAAAACGGTTTTTGTTATAACGTCATTGCACACGAAATAAAATATTTCTGTTAATAATTAAAACTCTCCTGTCGTTGTAATATGTAAAGTGTGACCTCATGTGACATTTGTCATAAACATTTTGCTTATATTTCGAAGTTTTTTAATCAAATTTACCTTTATTTTCAGGTTGCGTACATGCTAAATAACCGTTGCTAACGGAAGCTGGTTTTGACACTTTAATTAGCCGCAGCTGCGTCTTTGCCGCCGGAGTCTAGCTTCGCAATGACGTTTGTTCTGATTGGATCTCTCGTCCCGCCCTAATACGTTCGTCTCCTTTTGATTCGTTTATCGAAGAGCTCGTCACAGTCTTCGTCATCAATGGTACGTCAATATTGTTGTCATAGTGTTGGTCGACAAAAATTAACACTGGTGACGACGATAACTATGAAATATAACACGTTGGTAAACGATTTAGAAAAAGAGCAGCGACTTCGCCTGATGTCATGTTTATTCATAGGCTGTGAATAATAATTATTCCTCATCGCTGCTGTCACTGTTCATAAAGAATGTGTTATTCATGACCATGACCCACGTCAAACACTTGCAAATCTACCATATGCTCAAAACATCGTGTGTCTGTTCTGTTATATATATTAATACACACATATATTTTATAGCGGCGCTTTGGCCCAGAGGCAATGTCTCTGTCATTGGTGTGGAACCCCAGGGTTCACCTCCTGGACAAGTTCGAATCCCGGTTAGGGCGGTTAATACCTTCCAGTGGACTCACCACCCGCAGGAAGGTTTGGGGGGTTGGTATGGTGCAATGTGATTTGGGTGGCGACTGCTG